CGACAGCGCCACCCCAGCGAGACGCCCCCAACCTGGGTCCTGGCCGGGGTCCCAGCGCCACCCCAGCGGAGACGCCCCAGACCTGGGTCCTGGCCGGGGTCCCAGCGCCACCCCAGCGGAGACGCCCCCGACCTGGGTCCTGGCCAGGGTCCCAGCGCCACCCCAGCGGAGACGCCCCCGACCTGGGTCCTGGCCGGGGTCCCAGCGCCACCCCAGCTGTGACTCCCCCGACCTGGGTCCTGGCCGGGGCCCCAGCACCACCCCAGCCGAGACTCCCCCAACCTGGGTCCTGGTCGGGGCCCCAGCGCCACCCCAGCGGAGACGCCCCCGACCTGGGTCCTGGCCGGGGTCCCAGCGCCACCCCAGCGGAGACGCCCCCGACCTGGGTCCTGGCCGGGGTCCCAGCGCCACCCCAGCTGTGACACCCCCGACCTGGGTCCTGGCCGGGGTCCCAGCGCCACCCCAGCTGTGACTCCCCCAGACCTTGGGTCCTGGCCGGGGTCCCAGCGCCACCCCAGCCGAGACTCCCCCGACCTGGGTCCTGGCCAGGGCCCCAGCGCCACCCCAGCTGTGACGCCCCCGACCTGGGTCCTGGCCAGGGCCCCAGCGCCACCCCAGCTGTGACGCCCCCGTCCGCGCCCCAGACCTTGGGTCCTGACCGACAGCGCCCGCTTCCCCAAGGAAGGGCGTTCTCTCTTGCCGACCTTTGCATCTGTTATCTTCAGGGTCCTTCCAGCACCCTGAGGAGAAGCGATTGCCGGGGGCCAGGGGTGCGCGGGGCTGGATCCTCCAGATATCGTCTTCCTGGGCGGACACTTGGCCTCAGGACACTGACCACAGACACCTGACCACAGAACACTGACCACAGACGTGTGACCACAGGATGGGTGGCCACTGACACCTGACCGCAGGACGGGGTGACCACAGGATGGGTGGCCACTGACACCTGACCACAGACGTGTGACCACAGGATGGGTGGCCACTGACACCTGACCACAGACGTGTGACCACAGGATGGGTGACCACTGACACCTGACCGCAGGATGGGGTGACCATAAACACCTAACCACAGGACGGGGTGACCATGGACACCTGACCACAGGATGGGGTGAACACAGACACCTGACCACAGGATGGGTGATCATGGATACCTGACCACGGTATACCTGACATGTGACCACAGATGTGTGATCACAGTTGTGCCACCACAGGACACCTGACCACAGGACATGTGACCACAGGATGGGTGACCACAGCACGCCTGACCACAGATATGTGACTATAGGACGTGTCACCAAAAGATGGGTGACCACAGACGTGTGACCACAGGATGTGTGACCACAGGACATGTGACCAACCACAAGACATGACGACAGGATGGGTGACAGCAGCATGCGTGACCACAGGAGGCTTGATTATAGAACCTGACTCTGTGCCACCTTCCTCCCTTGCTGGGCTCCTGTCCTGGGGGCCCTCAGGCTGTCCCCTGTGTTGGCTGCTCTGGCCCGTGGGTGGCTCCTATTGGCACAGCTGAGAGGGAGGGGCACTCTTACCAAGCCTTGACTGGGCTCTCAAGGGAGCCAGGTGGAAACCAATGTGGGGAGTCTGCAAGTCCAAGCAGCCTGGGTGGCTCTGGGCCCTGCCCGCCTGCCTGGAGCACCCTTGACCTCTGCATTCCTCCCTGCTGTGGGAACAAAAGCCGGGCCTCTGTTTGTTCTCCAGGTGTTGATGCCAGGAGGGAGGTGGCCCTCGGGGCCCCGCTGTCACCTGGGAGCCTGCTAGAAATGCCAATTCCCAGGCCCCACCCCAGCTCCTCGCAGGTGCAGGCCCAGAGCCTGCAGTGCTGAGTGTTCCAGGAGATTCCGACCCCGCCGTGAGACAGAGGCGGGGAAGCGCCGTGAGGCTGGGCTGCAGTGCAGGCATGTGCAGCTCTGCGGGGGCCCAGGACTGCTGGGTCACGGCCGTGTGGTTTTCACAGGGCCACCAAGCTAGAGGTGTCGGGGACATGGGCCTGATGTGCGGGAGGGGGGAGGCAGGAGAGAGCAGTGGGGGAGTGGGCAGGGCAGGGCCACGCGGAGGGAGCTCAGGTGTGGTGTCTGTGTTGAATCGCCACGCTGAGTGTCCGGCGTCCAGTGCCCGGCTGGCAGCCAGCCTAGGACAGGGACAGGTGCTGCCACAGGCGTCCTCTCCGGAAACAGCAGCTTCCGCGGGCCCTGTTGGGTGAACTGGGGCTGGAACCCTCACCGTAGACGCTTGTCCTTGAGCAACACAGGGGCGTGGGGGGTGGGGGGCAGGGCTGTGCCTTTGTCTGGCATGGAAAAATCACGGGTAAGGGCTTCTCACCCCCACCCGCACCCCACCTCTACCCCATCCGGTTTGTCGAGTGTGGCTGGAGCAGACTATGGAGAATAAATGACAAAATCTGCTCCAGGGGGCCGGTGGTGTGGGCTAGTCGGTTAAACTGCCGCCGGTGACACCTGCATCCCATGTGGGTGCTGATTCGAGTCCCGCTGCTCCACTTTAGATCCAGCACCCAGCTAACACACCTGGGAAAGCAGCAGAGGCTGGCCCAAGTGCTTGGGCCCCAGCACCCATGTGGGAGACCCAGAAGAAGCTCCTGGCTCCTGACTTCAGCCTGGCCTAACCCTGGCTGGGAGTGAACCAGTGGATGGAAGGAATATCTCCCTTTCTCTGAAACTCTGCCTATCAAACAAATGAATATTTTAAAAAATCGGCTTCAGACTTAGCCCCATCAGCAGCCCAGCTGGGGCTCCGTAACCGAGTTCCTCCTGCTCTCATTTTAAAGAAAAACCAGTTTTATTGAGACAGTTTGCTCGCCTTGTCCAAGTCCACGACCCAGGAGCTTCTGAGCATTCCTGAGGTTGTGTGTCCACCCCATGTCTATTTAGAGAACATTTCCCTCTTCTCCCAGAAGGAGACCCTCGGTCTCAGCAGTCGCCCCGCACCCCCGCCCCGGCACGTCCCTGCCTCTGGGCTGTTTCTGCAGATGTAGTCCCTGGGCTGTGTCCGAGTTCCTTCATGTGGCTCATCCCCTGTCTGCCAGCCCCCATCCCCAAACCCGATGGTGATACTCTGTATGCCTGCTCCCTGTGCTGGTTGGTTGATGGACAGATGGGTTTCTACCTTTGGCCTGTCGTGGGCGGGGCTTGTTGGAAATGTGGCGCCTCGGCCGGCCCAGGCCCTCTGAGCCGGGGCCTCCCTGCCCTGTCCCATCAGGGAGGACGCTGGAACTCCCTCTCAGCTTTCAGGAGGTCCTCCACGGCCTGCGAGTGACACTGTAGCCCAGGCAGGGACCCTGGCAGCCCCACGTGCACCTGCTTAGGCTGAGCTAACTGCGTCACGGAGTTCCCATTGTTCACAGGGCCCCTGCTGTTGGCCAGATTGAGAAATCCTACAGCAAGACCCGCCCCTGAGCGTTGGCTCTCAAAGCCAGGCGGCTAAGGAGGAGGAGAGCCAGCGGCAGGGATGTCCGTGCTTAGCTGTGCTCCCGGAACTTCTGTGCCGCAGGAAGCAGGTCGTCAGCGTCTCCCTCGATGGCGTTATTAACGCGCACATTTTAATGGGGCCTTCCTGGACGCCTTCCCAAGTTGATGCAAGTACAGAACGAGTCACCCTGAACTCTGGAAAGCATAGTCAGTCTCAGGGACCTTGGGGGCCATTCACCCGACTCAGTCGTTTTACACACAAGTCTGAGGTCGCCTCTCGGCGCGGGAGCCCCGGGGTGGGGGACAGCTGGCCGCACTCCCTCTGTGAGGTTCCCCAGAGGTAGCCTCTCGGCGCGGGACCCCCGGGGTGGGGGACAGCTGGCCACACTCCCTCTGTGAGGTTCCCCAGAGGTCGCCTCTCGGTGCGGGACCCCCAGGGTGGGGGACAGCTGGCCGCACCCCCTCCGGGAGGTTCCCCAGAGGTCGCCTCTCAGCGTGGGACCCCCGGGGTGGGGGACAGCTGGCCGCACCCCTCCGGGAGGTTCCCCAGGTTGCGCTTGCTGGGAGGCGGGCCTCGGCCTCAGCGGCACTGCTGCCCTGGCTGACTCCCTCTCGGGAAAAGCTGTCCGGTGCGGGTGGTAGTGGGAACAGGGTTTGCAGTACTAGGCGTGGTTGAATAACCGGAAAGTAAAAGCCAGTGGGCAGGTGTCTGTGGTTCACGTTACACTCTTACCTCTGTATTTCTTCAAGATCCCCTCCGTGACTTCCGGCCCCCTACACAAATGCTGGACTCTGCGGTCAGAACCCCTGGCCGACCTCGGCTTCCTGTCCCTGCCCCACGACCATTGCTGCGCATGCCCTGTGGGCGCCCCTGTTTGCTTGCGCCCTCTGTGGAACCCCTGTCCATTCCAGCCTGCGTGCTGCTCCCTCCCTCCCAGGCCCACTGCGGGCCCCCCAAGCTTTGGGTCCTTCCTGGCCTACACCGGAGCTTCTGGGTTACCGGGAAAGCCACTGACTGCATCTCCCCTGTGTGTGTCTCTCTCCAGGGGCAGGACGCACGGCGCCATCGGCCCCGGCAGGTACGGCTACGGCAAGGCCCCGTACATCTTCCCGCTGCAGATGGACTCCACGCAGCACCCACCGCAGAGGCTGCGGAGACAGAGGCCCCCTTCCGGCCAGGCCAGGGCCCAGGCCGCGGCGGCTCCTGGGCCTGGCTATGGCCCAGCGCCCCAGCAGGGCCCCCAGCATGCGCCTGGCTACCACGGTGCCCGCGGCCCTCACTTCGGGCTGCAGGCCTCCGAGGCCTCCAGCTACCAGCTGCCTTTGACCCAGGACCAGGGCTTCCCTGCGGCTTCAAGTCTCTTCCAAAGCCCAGACACGAGCAGCAGCCATGCCGCGGGGGCCCCTGGCACAGCTCAGAGCTTCCTGCAGCCTCCCCGCTCCACCGCCATCTCCTGCATCGGCGCCTACCGGCAGTACAAGCTGTGCAACACCAAGGTGAGTGCCGCCCACGGCGTCCTGTGGCGTCCCGTGGCGCAGGGGTCGTGGCCACGTTTGCGCCTTGTCTCTTCTTCCTTCCCGCTCCACGCTCCCGCGTATTCTCCCCGCAGCGGCTGCTGTTTTGTAAGGGTAGTGCTCCAGCAGCTCAGGCGTAGCCTGTTGCATCGCTGGCCCACAGTCGCTCAGCGTCCGTGGGAAACTGTCGCTCCCCGTCTTCGTGGAGGAACGACAAGGACCCTGCGCTGTTCTTTCGTCTGCTCGGCCCTCCCCGGGTTTGCTGCTGGTTCTTCCCGGGTTGGCTACTGTCCCTTCCACCTCCGTGGAAGGGCGGTTCCCCCTGGCCACTTTCCCCACTTCCGCAGGGGAGCGGCACACCGCCGGCCAGCTCTCTCGGGGGCTGCTCAGATGTTCCCCTTAGATGTTCCTGGTGCATGTTGTCTCTCTCCTCCTTTTTTTTTTTTTTTTTTGACAGGCAGAGTGGACAGTGAGAGAGAGAGACAGAGAGAAAGGTCTTCCTTTGCCGTTGGTTCACCCTCCAATGGCTGCCGCGGCCGGCGCGCTGCGGCCGGCGCACCGCGCTGATCTGATGACAGGAGCCAGGAGCCAGGTGCTTTTCCTGGTCTCCCATGGGGTGCAGGGCCCAAGCACCTGGGCCATCCTCCACTGCACTCCCTGGCCACAGCAGAGGGCTGGCCTGGAAGAGGGGCAACCGGGACAGAATCCGGCGCCCCAACCGGGACTAGAACCCGGTGTGCCGGCGCTGCTAGGCGGAGGATTAGCCTAGTGAGCCACGGCGCCGGCCTCTCTCCTCCTTTATAGTCCTCTTCCACCAATCCCAACTCTGCTACCCACACGCTGAGTACGCTGCTCTCCTCCAATCAGGAGCAAGTCCTACAGTTTATTGGCTGAACTGGAGGCAGCTGTGTAGAAGCTGTTTTCTTCTCTCCCAGCGCCATATTGTGGGAGAGCAGATGCATAGAATAAGTCTTAATTCCAGTAACAGTATAGTCCGAGTTGCTCCCAGTTGCTCCCCACAGATCCCCCTTTCTTTTTATTTTTTGGCATTGATACACGCCTGTCTTCGGTGTCCCGCGGCACACACTCTGCTCTGCTTGCTAGAGTTGCCACAGGTTCTTACAAGTCCTATCAATCAGGCAAACCGAATCCGGGTCCTCTCTTCACCATGTTGTGAGGAGGTTTTCAGGCGCTGATGCGTGCCTGTGTTCGGTGCCCTGCAGCGCATGCTCTGCTCTGCCTGCAGGTGCTTACAAGCCCTATCAGGCAAACCGAATCCAAGCCTTCTCATTGCCATATTGTGGGGAGGCTTATTGGTGTTGATTCGTGCCTATCTTCGGTGACCTGCAGCTCATACTCTGGTCGAGCCGCCTGTTGGTGCTTACCGCCTTACTAATCAGGCAGACCGAATCCAAGGTATTGTGGGGAGACTTATTGATGTTAATTCGTGCCTGTCTTTGGTGACCTGTGGCACATAAGCTGCTAGCCACCCGCAGGTGCTCACCGCCTCACTAATCAGGCAGACCGAATCCAAGCTCTCTCATTGCCATGTTGTGGGGTGACTTATTGGTATTGATAACGTGCCTGTCTTCGGTGACCTGTGGCACATAAGCTGCTAGCCACCCGCAGGTGCTCACCGCCTTCCTAATCAGGCAGACCGAATCCAAGCTCTCTCATTGCTGTGTTGTGGGGAGGCCTTTCTATTTCTCTATTTCTCTATCTCCGGGCATTCCTATTTCTCCTGTTTTACTTCTATCTACCAGCATTCCTATTTCTCTCATTTTACTTCTAAACTTCTGTTTCTCTTATCCCTGCGGCTTCCCGGCGCCCGCCCCGAGGCTGCTTCTCGGCGACTTCCCGGCTCTGAGCCGCTCGGCTTCGCATGCACACTCCGCGGTCTCGCACTAGCCCAGCGTTCCCTATCTACTTGTGCCCCGCACGCTCTCTCTGCGCGCGGCGGCTTCCGCGAGTCACACAGCGTAGCTTACGTCTCTGCCACTAGCATTCAATCTAAGTTCCCCGGGCTAACCTGGCGAATTCAACCCAGCTCACGTTTCCGCCCCACGATTTGGCTTCCCGTCCTTTGCTCCCCGGGCTAATCAGACGGATTCCATCCTGGCTTACGTTTCTGCTTCTGGTTTTAACTTTTCGCCCCTTATTCCCGGGCTAACTTGAGAATCCCAAAGTGGCTTTCGTCTCCGCCTCGGCCTGCCCCCCGCGGCTTCAATTTCCCTAACATTTTTCTCTACCCGGTATGTTTCCCCAAGCTTTCTTCCAACAATATTCCTCCCTCATTTCTCCTGGCTTCTCCCCACAGTCCGTATCCAAGTCTGTTTGTTCTAGCTTTCACTTTCGCTTTTGACCTTAGAGATTTCTCCCAGCTTCCCCCCGTAGTGCGTATCCGAGTCTATGCCTAGGCTTTCAATAGCTTTTTCCGGCACCTTTTTCGTCCGGCTTTTCCCTAGGCTGTTTGCTAGTCTCTCTCTCCGAAATTTTCCCGTTTCTTCCCTCCTAAGTTTCCTATCCGTCCTAGGTTTCCTATCCGAGTCACGGCACCATTATGTCGCTCCCCCTCTTCGTGGAGGAACGACACTAAGCCCTGCCTAGGCTTCATATCCGAGTCACGGCACCATTATGTCGCTCCCCCTCTTCGTGGAGGAACGACACAGGACCCTGCGCTGTTCTTTCGTCTGCTCGGCCCTCCCCGGGTTTGCTGCTGGTTCTTCCCGGGTTGGCTACTGTCCCTTCCACCTCCGTGGAAGGGCGGTTCCCCCTGCCACTTTCCCCACTTCCGCAGGGGAGTGGCACACCGCCGGCCGGCTCTCTCGGGGGCTGCTCAGATGTTCCCCTTAGATGTTCCCCTTAGAATTTCCTGGTGCATGCCGTCTCTCTCCTCCTTTATAGTCCTCCTCTGCCAATCCCAACTCGGCTGCCCACACGCCGAGTACACTGCTCTCCTCCAATCAGGAGCAAGTCCTACAGTTTATTGGCTGAACTGGAGGCAGCTGTGTAGAAGCTGTTTTCTTCTCTCCCAGCGCCATATTGTGGGAGAGCAGATGCATAGAATAAGTCTTAATTCCAGTAACTTAGTCTAGTCCGAGTTGCTCCCAGTTGCTCCCCACAGGAAACCCTGGGTATCGGCAGTGTTTATCCCCCATCCCTGCTCACTGGATCCAGGCTCCATAGCGGATGGAGGGTGGCCACTGCTCACTGGATCCAGGCTCTGTAGCGGATGGAGGGTGGCCACTGGTCACTGGATCCAGGCTCCGTAGTGGATGGAGGGTGGCCCTCTGGTGCTGCGAAGGAAGTGGGTGCTTCAGGAGGAGCAGCCCTGTGAGTTTCCAGGTGAAAAACGTCAGGTGTTGAGAAGAAGGGGGCAGTGCAGCCTGAGGATCCGCCTTCAGAGCAGCAGCTGTTGTACCCCCTGTGAGGCTGGTCGGCTTTCTCAGCACCTGTGTCTGTACCGCCATGGACAGGAGAACACGGCCAAGCTGGGTGCACCTGTGTCTGTACCGCCATGGACAGGAGAACACGGCCAAGCTGGGTGCACCTGTGTCTGTACCGCCATGGGCAGGAGAACACGGCCAAGCTGCGTGCACCTGTGTGTGTGCCACTGTGGGCAGAACAGGCCATGCTGGGTGCACCTGCTGGGTACACCTGTGTGTCTACCACTGTGGGCAGGACAGGCCATGCTGGATGCACCTGCTGGGTGCACCTGTGTGTCTACCACTGTGGGCAGAACAGGCCAAGCTGGGTGCAGCTGTGTCTGCAGCACTGTGGACAGAACACAGCGTGCTGGGTGCACCTGTGTGTCTACCACTGTGGGCAGGACAAGCCATGCTGGGTGCACCTGTGTGTGTGCCACTGTGGGCAGAACAGGCCATGCTGGGTGCACCTGCTGGGTACACCTGTGTGTCTACCACTGTGGGCAGAACAGGCCAAGCTGGGTGCAGCTGTGTCTGCAGCACTGTGGACAGAACACGGCGTGCTGGGTGCACCTGTGTCTGCTGGGGGCTGGTGCCTCACACATTCATTGATTTCCTCCCCTGCATCTTGGTGACACCGGCCGGCCTCCCAGACTCCTCTCCCTGACCTCCTGAGCCCTCCTCCACCTCGGCCTGCTGCCGTTCTCTGCACGTTTGGAAGCCGCAAAGGGAAGCTGAGTCCCCAGCCCAGGCCCTCAAGGCCAGTGAGTCTCGGAGCACCTTGTGAGCACCTTGTGGACTGTTCAAGGGGCCAAATGTCGTTTTAGAAATACTGGCAGGCTGTGCAGGGAGCCAGTGTTTGCTCGATAGCAGTTCAGACAGCCGCGTGCCCTGTTCTCTTCCTGGCTCCAGCGTCTTGCAGCTGAGCACCCTGGGAGGCAGTGGCAACGGCTCCGAGTGCTTGGGTTCCTGCCACCCATGTGGGAGACCGGCATCGAGGTCTCGGTTCCTTGTTCCAGCCGTGTGGGCATTTGGGGAGTGAACTACTGGATGGGGCGCTCTCTCCCTCTCCCTCTCTCTCTCTTCTTCCCTCCCCAAAATAAATATAATTAAAACGTTTAAAGGCTATGTATAATGAGAAAGGAATGAGAGAACGTGAAGAGGTTAAATTTGCAAGCTGCTACATTTTTCATTAATAATTTAATCTGCTTCAGGACGCCGTTACTCAGTAACAGCACAGCTGTTACATATTAGCTTCAATTTCCTCATTAAAAATATATTTCCTGCCATGGAGCCACAGAATGACTCAGTTTGTGATCTGAATGGTTGCTCTGAACGGATTCCCCCGGCGGCCACTCCAGGAGTCACAGCTTGTTTCTGAAGCAGTCCCTGGCGCATCGTTGAGTGTCCCATAAGGGACCAGGGCTGTGGAGTATGGGCGGGACCACCACTGGGTAGTCTGCCTCTTGGGGCTGCTGTGAGACCAGAGCGTGCTTTGTAGATCAGAAAATGAGAAATTCCCTGTGTCCCTGATCAAACTTGGCCCCTGTTCTTGAC